GTGGACAATCCTGCAAAGCGTAGAACACACCTTCCCCTGACAACTGCCCACGCAAATTGATTGCTTGAGAGCTATTTCGGACTCCGCCCCCCGTGGCAAACTTCAACTTTTCTGGGGCTTCCCCTAGATGCTGAATCCACTGGTCTGGCAAATCCTTTTGGGATATGAGGTTCCTACCTGCCCCTGAGTCAATCAAGAAATCTTGAGTCACATTCATGGGAGTGCAAATTGTTGCCATGGCAGCAAAACATTTGAATGCTTTTTCAAACAACGTGGTATTGCGGTGGCCAACGTTCTTTCGTGACATCATCTTTTTGGAAGTCTTCCTAACATGCTTCTGCACAGGACCCTGCTGAGACAACCCTTTACGGAACCATTTATTCCATCCATGATCTCCACCGGTGCGATTCCAAATCCCTTTGAAAGTGGCCTCTACTGACGTATTGGCTTCACTAGGACTGGCCTCATGGAGCGGAGCCGAATGGCTGCACACCCCGGTTGATCCAACTACAGAACTTGAAGCAACTGCTCCCGCAAGAACTTTGGCTGCTCCTGCATGAACTGTGGCTGAACCTGCTGGTGTAGTCTTTTCAAGCCCTTTGGGTTTTGCCCCTTTGTAAAGCTTGTTTTTGTCATGGAGATAAGGGCATTTGTCCCCCTTTGTGCAAGAATTGAAGGCAAAGTACATGCAAGGCTGTTTTGACCTATCCTCTTTGGATGCGTCTTTCGGTGCTTCCGTTTTGGTACCGCTATTGTCGCCTTTCTTTCCACCTTTTCCACCTCCTTTAGAAGTTCCAGGGGCAGCAGAAACAGTGGCACTTTTTGACCTAATTTTGGAGCCCTCTTTGTCCTTATCTTTTTGTCCCTTTTCTGCTTTCTTGTCGGGTTGTTCCTTTTTGGTCTTTGTTTCTTTCTTTTCTTTGTCCTGAGTTTCCTTTTTGGATTTTGTATCAGGATTGGCGGGATTGCCTGGCACTTTGTGTCCTCCCGTTGTTTGCAAAGCTTTCTCAACAAATGATGTGTTTTCATCTTGCTGATGCAGCTCTATTGCTTCCTCCAATCGATCAATCAACCACTGCGCAGTTCTTTTACTGGAAGACCCCTTGGACGCTCGGTACTTATCAATTGCTAGTGCAAGCAAAGGATGATGCTTCAGATTTTCATAAAGCATTGACCGAAGAGCGGACTCTTGTGGCATTTCGGATTGTTCCAACGACCCAATGATGTAAAACAGCTTTTGACGGAACTCTCCCAATGACTTTACATCTTTTCCACTGAGCTTCAGACTCAAGAGGTGGTGTTGGCTAAGGCTTGCACCGCGATCTTTGTCCAGGCTGAACTTGTTCAGGATAAACCATAGCAGCAAGCGGCCGGAAGGTTGCTTTCCTTCCTTTTGGCATTTCTCTTGCAAAGCTTGGAAATCTAGACTGAAACGGGTGCCCCTAGCATTTTCCAACAACTTGTGGCCCAATGTACGATCAAGCACTGGATAGTTTCCTACGCTGGCAAACTCGGATGGATCTTTTGCGGAACTGCACTTTTGAATCCATGCGACCAAGGGAGTTTCATCCCCTTTGCAAGTCTTGCAGATGGCTGACACAACCTGGTTTTTGAACCCACGGCACTCAGCTGCATTCTTTGGAATTGAGGCAATCTTGATTGAGTCATATCCCTTTACACGCATCAATTTCTTTTCCATTCGGTATGGATCTTTCTCTTCGTCTTGACTTGAGGATGATGATCTATTGGATACATTTGAACCAACAGGTGAACCCCCTGGACTACCACCTCCTTTCGGTGAAGATGATGACGACGAAGATCCCGAACTTGATGCTTTACGTGATGGAGATCTTGATGCTGACTTGATTTGCTCTACCAAAGTTGACAGCTGATTCATTATGGCATCATATTGCTGGGATGACTTTGAACCTTTATCCCCTTTACTCTTTTTGGGTACCTGCTCATTTGAGTTATAACCCTTTTGAAACTTCCCCAACAGTTGGATGGAGCCTGGGGGCTTCACATCCGGCTGGGAGGAGCTCGAAGGCTTCACTCCGGCTTTGGTGGAGCACAAAGGCTTCACACCAGGCACGGCATCCTGAGCATGGGACTGGTCTGCATCCAACATGAAACCACACGACCCTGGACCTGGCTGGCTATGTCGACCCACTGGAGTAAATATTTGAAAAAACCCCGCGCCATTACCGGCTTCTTCGGATGTTGGTCTCACAGGCAGTGGCTCTTTTTCATCAATCTCTTGGTTTTGGATTTGGTGCAACAACGATTCATAAGCCCCTTCTTTTCCGGTAAGAAGTTTCAACAACCTTTCACTTTCCTTGGTCTGTGCAATCAATCGGTCTTGGAGTTGGCTATTGACATGGATCAACTCACCCACTTTCCCTTCGAGAATGGACACTTGTTTTTGGGCTTCAGCTTTGAGGGACATATATTCTGCTTTAGCCTGTGCTTTTAGAGATTCAACCTCAAACCTGCATTGGTTCCTTATGGACTCGAGTTCCAGTGACGCCCTATTCAAAGCTTCGGTAGCTTCAACCCTTGTGGCATTCAATTCCCTTTGAGATTGTGCAACTTGGGTATGGGATTCATCAATGGCTCGATTTGCTTCGGTCTGAACTTGATTCAACACTTGAATGGCTTCAGCTCGGGTTTCCCCTTGGACCCTTTCAACATACTGAATTGCCTCATGTCTTAACTCATCACGGGATTGGGCCAATGCACTATTAGCTTGTTCAACCATTTGGCTGGCTTGTGCAATGATAAACGGATCCATGGATAGGTGCAACTCATTTCGAACATTCGTTTGGGAAAATGAATGACCCGGTGGCCCTTCTGCACCAACCCCTTGCCCCGGTGGCGATTGAAAAGGGTTTCTTGGCAATTGTGGCGAATGCTCATTAGATTGCAAAAACTGTGAAAGTGTTGCATCTGGACTCTGATTCGTATTTGTGGTGACTTGCATTTGATTGGGAACAGGTCTTCTTTCATCCGGTGTTGACATTGATTCGGAAATTGTTGGTTCAGATGGTGTCCCAACCCTTACCTGAAGAGCATGTGAAACAACACGATCTGACCTAGACCTTTGATCTGATTCCGAACTGTCATCTATCCTGGACTCGAACTCTGTCATCTTTTCCCCAATCGGGCACCGATTTGTGGACTATTGCCGCAATATGATCTCCACAGTCTTCCAAGAATTGTTCCACTTTGTCCGGGGCTCTTGCCCAAGGCTTCCGCCGGAGATGGAGATGGATCGTGTAGATAAAGCGACTGCACTCGTCAATGACAAGGACGTTGTCGTCCACAATCAACGCTGTACTCTTCCTTTGAGTCAACGCTTCGATTGCCCTCAACTTGCCAAGTGGCCCGTCCCGACTCCTAGTCACAATAACAAAACTCACCAAGTGGCTGAGTCCCTCCGTGCGATTGCACGCTTCGATAAGACCCGATTCGTTCTTGGCACTGTTTTCAATATGTGACACAATCGAGATAACAAGGTGGTTTCCGAAAAGATCCTTAAGACGCTTCAGAAGTTCCAAGTTTTCCTTTGGCACACGTTGGGTTGCCCAGGCTGACTGGGTTCGGCTCCTATCCAGAACCTGATGCCAATCGAGACACAGACAAAATTTTCGTCTGGCTGGCAACTCCGTGTACACTCCTTGCACCCCAACAAATCCACGTGTTGAGAAATCCCGCAGCCTACCTTCAGAATCCCACGTCAAGTATCTGCAGCGATCTGGCAAGAGGTACTGAGGAGCCAATGGCTGCCCCTTTGGCACTGGCACCGAAGACGATGATGATGCCGCACCCGATGAACTCTTTGGCCGCTGCAATAGCAGCGCCGCAGGAGGTTCCTTCGAGACTGGTCTTGCCTTTGGTCCCGAATCAGATGCTACGCTCGATGCCTTTGGCACTGGAGGATGAGACTTTGTTGCAATTCCCGGTGCACCTTGGGGTGCTTCGATGGCTGCCTTTGGCACGGCCGGTCGAGGCTTCGATGCGATTGCCGGTGAAGATGCTTTTGTCAAAGTCACTTTCCGATCTCCCTGCACACTCCTTACCGATGTAGTTGAGACTGTTGTCAAAGAACCTGTCTGTGTCTTGGCCTTTGCAATCACTACCCTACTCGATGGAGATATGCTTGTGTCTGGATAGCCTGGTGGTGGGCTCGATGGTTCTTTGGGGAAGTTTGGGAACTCCACCCAGGATGGAGGATGCTCAGGCTCCCTTGGACTCCTAAGATCTCTTGTCCCCTCTTCCTCAGAACTCACTTCTTCCCACTGTTGCTCAAACGATCCAATAACTTCTTGACGTACTGTAGCTCGAGATCCACTCAAGAAATTCTCGTCAATGATAAATGGATATTCGTTTGATAATGCACCTGATGCTAATCCGTTCTCGAGAACCGCTTGCTTCTGAGACTGTCCCCTTCTTCCTGAACGGTGCCAATCGATAGCCCGCCAGAGGGTGTCCCCTATTGAAGATATTTTCGCAACAGACTAGAGGTCGATTTAACGACAGCTAAAGACCAAGTACGAAAATGCAGAACTCGATGAGGTAGATGATGAGCCCTACGGCTGATAACCACGAAAATGTGGTTTAGAGTGCGCTGGCGTCAATGGCTAAGCAGTGAACGACCGCGCTCCTTTTTCCACAAGGCGCTTGAGCCAAACATCCGGTCCATAGATTTGTGGACCTGTTGGCTGGTTTATTATGACACTATACTATGTCACAGTACATGCACAAACAGTGGATTCCCTACGAACATACTAGATGTCGTAAAAACAGGTCAGTACGAATGCATGCATATATGGAAGGAGCCTAATGGCTTCACAACCATGGCTTGTTGGCATAACAGCTTCGATTGGTTGGTGACACGAATCCATGTATTTGGTGATACATCTGCTTGGACATAATTGGTGATATTGCATGAGTTTATTCTTCTGTTTTCCTTCAAATCTCCACATCAGCACCGTCAGCACCTCCTTCAGCCACCCCTGCGGCTCCACATGGCCCAAGGGCAAGGCACGCAAGCGCTTTCGCCGCACAGACCTTGTGTTTAGAGTGGCAGATCGAGGGGAATCTTTGAGCTGCAAATGTCTTTTTTTAATAGGGGACCCATTTTGACCATCCCAAAATCGTATAAAATTGTTATGTTTTGGGATGAAACCAATGATCTTGGGGTACTGGAGCCTAATTCTAAGCCCATAGGTAGATCGTTGATCATCATGAGAATCTCTGATATCAACACATAGCCGAGTTAAATTTACCATTGGATAATCAACCAGGGATCTTTTTATTAAACCAACATTGGCAGATCTAGTAGGTACAGTATCAACAAAACCAAAGCAGAAGGGCAGGGGGGCTTTGGCCGGAGTTAAAACAAAGGTTCTATGAGCATCGCTGGGATTTCTGGATGTTCATCCCCCTGAAAGTGGGTCTTAAAGGTAAAGTAAAAAAGCACCCGACCAAAGGCCCAGCTGTCGATAGATGCAATACACTACTTAGTAAGGTCTTCCTAGGTCACATATTTTGACACAGAAACTTGGGCAATTTTGACACATGACTTTGGTTGATGCAGCATTGGAAGGATAAAAAAGAACACGATATCTATCTATATCTGAATATGTATGTATATAGAATATGTCTATCTATGCCTATCTATGTCTATCTATGTCTATCTATCCATATCTCTATCTCTCTATCTCGCTATCTCTCTATTTCTCTTTCTGTATATCCGTCTATCCATCCATCCATCCTTCCTCCATTTTCATCCATCTGCCTATCTGATTGTATCTAAATAAGACCAATATATTCTAATCTAATCTAATCCGATCTAATCTTATCTTAAAAAACATTTCAAGAAATACATGCACACCCACATAATATGGTGTATACATATATATATATAGAGGTAGGTTTCCAATCCATGGGGGCACCTCCAAATCTTCAATGTTTTTTTTGAATTTTCCATCAACAAAAACCATCCAGCTATTGTGGTACCCACAGGCTCGCCAAAGGTAATAGCCACTTCTGTGTTCCAGTACCCACATGAGCCAAAGGTAAAACACTTCTGTGTGGTGATCATGAGGAAATGCCCGAAAAAGAGATGGCTATTTGGCAACCAGTTAATAATGGTTAATAATGGTTAATCTATGGTTAATCTATGATTAATCTATCTGGTTGGTGGTAAAACAACCCCTCTGAAAAATATGAGTTCGTCAGTTGGGATGATAAAATTCCCAATATATGGAAAATCATAAAATTCATGTTCCAAACCACCAACCAGTTTTTCTTAGGAAAGATCAAAACACACTAAAATCCAGTTGGACAATTCCTCTGGCCTTGACGGAACTTCCCCATGGACATCTACCTGCAAATCGAAGTGATGGCTAACAGGGTCCGCAAACAAGTTGGGTAAGCTATCGGGTTCACACCCGTAACAGGTGAGAACTGAGGAATTAGCTGGTCAAGGAGTAGCAATGACCGGGTTTGGGTACAACTTGGGAAGCCTAAAAAAGATGGTTTGATTTGGTGGTTTACGTTGGAAAACACCATTTTTATTAACTGCAAACACACAGGTTTCCTCTGGTTTTCTATGATCCTTGCAATCAATTCTAGGGTTGATCGGTTGATACAACAAATGCAAAGTCTGTGGAAACACCCTTCTTGAATCTTGAACAATTATAGAAAACACCAAGTATATATTTCTGTGGAATGCCAATTTATATATGTTATCTATGAGAATATAGAAATGCCAATTTTATGGTCTCAAACAATTGTACAATATTTGCTGAGAAACCGAGAAACCGTGGACCAGCGGATCCATCGTATTTTCAAAGCCACCGTTCGCAAACGCGTGGAGAACATTTGTTTATGTCCAAAGTAATGGGAAGGGTTCATATCATCTAAAAGTAAAACCAGTCTTGATATATTGTTAAGATCATATGATGATAGTGTCTTTATATGTGTACATATATGCATATATATATATATATATATGTTAAAGCTTCACAGTGACGCTGCCAATGAATGCAAGCTGGCGCTTTTTCTCAGCGCCAGGATGGCTTGGTGGTGGTGGCGCAAGTAGCAGCTAAAAAACTTGCCGTAGAGCATGGGCATCACGTAGCCAGCGTAGGGGAGGTCCAGCAAGTAGAGCTCCACAGCCACGAAAAGGATGTCCAAGCGTAGTGCTCCAAGGCAAGTCAAACGAGAGCTGGTGGCAGCACCAAGATTCCTCTACCCAGCGTGGCTTAGCCAGGGAGGAGGGCAGGGCCAACAAAGCTGCAGCCACAATGAAGTTGAACATGAGGTGACATGTTAAAGCTTCACAGTGACGCTGCCAATGAATGCAAGCTGGCGCTTTTTCTCAGCGCCAGGATGGCTTGGTGGTGGTGGCGCAAGTAGCAGCTAAAAAACTTGCCGTAGAGCATGGGCATCACGTAGCCAGCGTAGGGGAGGTCCAGCAAGTAGAGCTCCACAGCCACGAAAAGGATGTCCAAGCGTAGTGCTCCAAGGCAAGTCAAACGAGAGCTGGTGGCAGCACCAAGATTCCTCTACCGCCATCAGAAAAGGCGCACATGGGTGAAAAGTACAGAAAGCCATAGCAGCCAAAACAAGGCTGGAACAGCGTTGTAGAGTCATCCCGCACTAAAGGCCAGAAAAGCAAACAAAGAAGCAGCACTTCGAATGGCTCTCCTAGAGGACAAAGGGAGCTCGGTCAGCAGGCTAAGCGCTGCGACCTCCTGCAAGTAGGCCTCTAAAGTTGTCACCTGCTTTAAGCGCATAGCCCACAGCAAGTCGCTGATCGAAGCTCCTTTCCGGTAGCTTGTTACAGCACCTCCGCCACGTAGTCCGCCAGGGGTGACATGAACGTTTGTAGGCACCTCCAGCAGCTGCAGGATAAAGTCCCATCGTCTGCGAAAAACATGAGCACTACCAAAGAAAAGCAGTTCATCTTTGTCTGCACCCAGGTAGATCAAATTCAGAAGCTTTACAGCGTGCAAGTTGGTGATCTTCAAGTGCTGCACTCGAGCCAATTGCCTATAACTCGTCTTTGACCTCCTCAAGACTAAAAAGGCAGCATCGCACTCATACAGCATGTCGCAGGGCAACAAGAGGTCCTCCCTGCGGCATTTCAAGACTTCGCCGGCACGGGCAATGCCGAAGAAGCATAGCAGACAAACACCGCACCATCGTTTCCAGTTCATGCTCCATGCAATTGCGATCATAGCTTCAACCAAAACCTCAGGCACCGGAGTACGGTGGGTGGTGGGCTCGGCTTTCTCCCATCTGGTAGCAAGATCCCAGCATATCCCTGCGTAGGGCTTCAGCTGCGGTACTCTCCGCAACGAAACCAGGATCAAATGCCGGTAGTAGAGCAAGGAACCACCACGCTCGAACTCCAGATCTCCAAAACGCCGAACAGCATAGGCAAGGAAGATCGGGACCGCCAGGAAGAGAGCCAAAACGTCGGACTCCACAAACTTATAGCACCAAACCAAGAACCTCTCCCACTGCTGGTCACCAAGTCGAATGCTGCTCCAAGTTTGCACAGGAGCCTCTTCGAGGGAGAAACCTCGAGGATGAGCTATTCTGCGAGGTCCGGGGTGGTCGGCTTCTCCGATCCGCATTGAAGAGCACTTGGCGCAACCAGCAACGTTGAACTTTCCACTGCCCAGTTTGCTCCACCCACAAGCATCCAAGGCAGCCGAAGCTATGATCCGGCTGAAACCACGTGGATACGGCTGCGCAACCAAAGTCCATGGGATCCTCAAAGTGGGGTGTTGACCGCGCAGCTGTTGATGTCCTCTAGAGCACGTGCACAACATGCGCAAGCCTTTCAACTTTGGAAGGTTTGTCGCCACTCTTGTTCTTTTTCTCCACTTGGTGCCGAAGCGGCAGCAATCAGCCCTGAACACATGCTGAGAATCGGGCTTTCTATATTTCCTGTACTTCTTTTGTCCCCACACATGGGAAGAATCAGGGTTCTCAGTCCAAAAGAAAACATCAGGACTCTCAGCATCGTCAACGCTCTTCTCACATAGCTCATGAACCTCGGCACCAAAGTCAGCCATCTCATTTCCCTCTTTAACCTTCTCCTTCATGTTCAAGGTCATCCAAGGCACGCCCCGCGGATATTGCAAAGTGCGGACCGCAGGGGTGACAGCACGGGAGAAGGACTTGCAAACCATAGCAGACCCTACCAACTTCACAGCACGGCAGCAGGACATTCTCACTCTCGCTCCTGCCGATCTCGAAGGTCAAGACCCAAGGACACCCTCCTTCAGCCAGCGCACGGGCAACTCCTCCTTTGCCGCTATATAAATCCAAAGCACCTGGCTCCAGAAAATTGCTGACGCCAGCGGCGAAGACGAACTGCTGTAGAGGAAAGCTATGGAGGATGGCCAAAGCCTCTGCACCCAAACAACTTCCATCGCTCGAGTGCATCACTGCCCCACCATTCTCACAAGCGGCCTTTCCTCTCTGCCGAGTGCTGGCTCGGAAAGCGTGGCCAGTCCTCATGTCAACAGGGTCTCCCAAACAGGCTCGATCAAAGTGACTCGTGGGAGCCACCATCACTTCTAAGTCCTTCAGCCAAAGGTCAAGCCGATCAAAGCGGTTGTTGCAAACACCATCCCACCACCAAGGCAGACCCGAATCTGGAGCGTCAGGCTTTGCGTCTCTGGTGGGCCCGTCAGCTCGGTTCAGCTCCGAAGGCCAAAAACCATACCCGCCGTAAAGGTCAGAGCCAAGCATAGTCGGCACACTCCTGAGCAGCTCTGAGTTCAAAGCTTTCGACGAGGCTCTACCTTTGACCAAACTTCCTAAAGCCACCTGAGAATCGAGGGCATAGGGCACCCGAACACTGACCTGCTTTGCTCCAATGCGCCCTTCCTCAATCAGATGCGCTCGGAGCTCGCCAATGTTCACATGCACAGGCTTTGGGTGTTTTCGCCGCCACTGTTCCTCATAAGGCACTGCTCGAGCCAAAGATTCCCAAAAGGGGTGGACATCATAAACGTCACCACCGGGCAGTTCATCCTCCTTTTCCAAAAGCTCTTTGCTTCGCAACCATGCTTTGCTCGGGGGAAGCAGTTTTGTCCAGCAGCTCTTGCTGAGACTCAACCTCATTGCCTCCCTAGCAACTTGCACCGGGATCGCACCCAACACAGCGGCCATGCCCCAATCTGAGGCGTCAGTCGCATGGAGCTCCCCAACTGTAGAGGCCCTCAGGTTGACAACCGCCAACGTGCTCAAAATCATCATGGTGAAGAGCTCGTCAATCAAAGCTCCCGAGAGCCTAAGCACTTGCCTGTCTGAGCTGGACGCGGCAATGGCGTCAAAGACCAGGTTCATGGTGGACAGGAGCCTACGCCTCAAAGACAGTATGGAAATGTAGGATCCAGCCAAAGAACGAAGAAGGCCTACTGTGGAGAGACCTAAAGCGCAAACACGCACCGTGATGAGCAGCAGGGGCCAAAGTCTGGTCTCGTTGGCTCGTACAAGCCCCTTTTTTCCATCAACTTGGACTCCCCAGAAAGAACTGCACAAGCTGTTGTCGAAGGCCTTCTTCTCGTTAGTGGGCAGTCCAACCTCCTCGTACTTAGCCATGATCCTCTCCATGCGCTCGTCCAGAAGAGAAGTGCCCTCATAAACACCAGTATTGACGTCAGAGGCAAGGACCTTCTGCAAACAAACAAGGTCATCAATCACAACACCAACGCTGAGCAAACCTCTGGGGCATGGTTGGTGCATCATCAGGATCTCATCCATTGAAGCTCCACCACAGGACACGACCAGCTTGAGGTGGGACCCCTGTGCAAATTCGCAGGCGTTCAAATCGCCCATAGCCAGCGTTGACAAGCCAACATAACCAGCTTCAAAGAACTTCTTCCCGAAGATGAACTCCAGGTCCTCAGGCTCGAGCCTACCGGCCAAGTAGTTGCGGCGACATCGCTGCGGGGAAACAGAAAACTGGTAAAAGTAGTCACGAATGTCCCTCCCACTCATGATAAGGCATTGTGACTCATCAAGCTCGATGCCGGAAAGGCAGGTGCTGCTGCTCATGGTCTTTGTCCAAGTGTTCAACATCTTTTCAACCGTGTTTGGGGGTCTTGCATCTAAGATTAGACGGTCTCTGTCAAGATCCTTGGGAACACAAAAAAGGCCACACTCGAGCCCAGGACGTACATCATCAAGGGTCAAAGGCACTAAACGACCACAAGCAGCCATCTTCTGAAACAACAGATTCCGTTCATGAGCAGAACCATGTATGCTAACTTGAGGGGGTTCATCAACGACATCGTCACGAACACATTCTAAAGGAAATTCATAAGCATGAGCCGTTTCCTTGTCGAAGTAGGGGACAGGGTTGAAACTTGGGGAGCCAACAAAGTGAAGCCGATCAGCTTGCAGAGGCTTAGCTACAGCAGAATCACCACCTTTGGATTCACCATGAAATACTCCGAAGCCCCCTGAAATCTCCTCCCAATCATCACCTTCATTTTCACGCCAAGCTCTGGTCGGAGAGCAAGAGTCAGCCCCATAAGGAGCAAAAGAGGTGGAACAGCAAACGAGAGCACGGTGGAGAGCATCCAGCTGGTCAGCCGAGGATTCAGTCCGCAGTGCCGCTCTTGCCATCAATTGTGCATCCACCTGCAAAAGTGAATTCTGATCTTCGCTGAGGTGTTCCAAGAGGCGTACTCGACGCCACTGCCGGGCAGAAAGTCTTCGGCCTGGCCATAGCAAACCTGGGCAGCTATGAGGTCTTCCAAGGTGAAGCCAATTGAGAACTAACACCTGCAGAACCAGCCGCCTCTTCTTCCAAGAGCCACCAAAAGCAGAGTCTCCTCCAAAAACTTCTGGATAAGGAACGGGCATAGGCCAGAGTCCCCTCAACGAGTGATCCTCATCATGAGGCCGCGGCAAATTGCTGAGAAAACTTTGCACAAAAGTAGCCAACTTGGCCGCATACTTCGTCACGACCCGTAGCCATGAATTAACGAAGGCAGGAACCTTGACCGTGGGCGCACGGCTGCCCGGGACGTGGGCAAACTTCGTGCCCAAGCCACCGGAGCTACCGGAGGGGCACACGTCAGCAGCCTCCAAGGAACTCAGGCCGTCTCGGCCGCATCGCTCTGGCTTTTCCCTTTGACTTTGGCTTCGGCTTTGGTCGGTTGGTCTCCTTCTCGGTCTCTTCTGCGGTCTTCTTCCCCAGGGCTCTGCGTTTCTGCACGTAGTCCTCTGCATCCTTCAGATGGGACAACATCACCTCGGCCCACCTTGGGTCCAGTATTTTGCTGAACGGGCTTTCCCCGTCTGAAATGGACGGCAACGTATGGGACGCCAAAACAGACAAAGGAGGCCCCTGCTCCAGCATGAGCTCCGAACCCAAAGCCCAGTTGCCTCTGTCGATAGCCACCTGGTCGATCATCAAGAGCATCAGACAGCTGCGAGCTCTCGCATGAGCCACCCGGCCATTCACCAGGTCGTCCAGGATCCCAGCCGCCGACCATGCAAGATAGGCAGAGCTCTTGTAAGCGCCTATGCGGCTCCGATGCTCCACCCAGGCACGGGCGTTGAAGTCCTTCTTCGGCATGCCGGGCATCACCGTCTGCAAAGTAAGGTCCTCCAGCATCAACTTCTCGATGACGTTGCTGATGTCTTCCGGAGCTTCCTGCAAAGCCAGCCTGAGAGCTCGTCGAGCTGCTGCAGCTCGTTTGCCAGTAGACCCTGTAGAGCTGTCTGCACCAGTGTTTCCTCCCAGATTCTCCAGGGCGATGTCCACTTTCGAGGACTTTGCTCTCTTGATCTTGTCTGCACTGAGAAGCGTCACCGGCTCCGTCAACTTGTTCAGGGCACCCTCCATAGTCCCCGGATCTTGAGCTCCAGAGGTAGGAGAGCCAGACTCGCCCTCTTCGATCTCGTCCTCGCTTTCTGAGAGGACAGTGTCGGAAACCTTTCTCGCAGGCTTCCTCAGAGCAGGCTCTCGAAGTTTCTTTCCCTTCGAGGAAGCACCCATCAGACGCTCCATTTCTCGCAAGTTCTCCTCTGGAACTCCTGCAGATAGCGCAGAGGCAACCACACTGGGGTCTAAAGAAGGAAACTTCGCAGCATCTTCGTGGCGATGAGGTCCAGGAATCACTTTGGGCTTTGCGGCAAAATGCACCTTGGGAGTTGAAGGTCGGGACGAACCAGAACTCACCTTCTCCAACACAGTCTCCAGGCTGACCGACATCTTCCCCAGCAGCTCCTCCAACCGCGACACCCGCGGGCCCAGACCAACAGCGGGCCCTCCATGGACGGCTGAACCATCTTCTCCTCCTTTGCCACTCTCCGCACTCAGAAAAGAAAAGCGCTCTTCCAGTGCTTCCACCAAGGCCGGGGCATACGGGAGGTAGCCGTCGCTCTCCTCGTAGAGGAAGGGGTAGTTCACCGCCTCGCTGTCGTCTCGAAGCACTACCATCTCGCCGAAGGTCTCCGCAGTGATGTAGCCAACCCAAACCTTCATGTAAAAGGCCATCTCCTTGGTCATGTCCTCCACAGAAGAGCAAAGCACCTCTATCAACGTGGGCTTGCTCAGGACCGGAGGCAAGGTTCGTTTCGAAACCGTACGGTGCCAAACCTGATGAGGGAAAGCAGCCAGATAGTGGCCGTCGGCCACTCGGCTCACTAAAATGCACTGAATTGTTGCTCCGGAGGCCACTTTGAGCATCCATAAATCGTATTGGAACTCAGCGCTGCCGTCAGGCAGTGCCACAAAAGGTCGACTTGCCGAGGCTTCGCCCGGCTCTTCAGGCTCTGCTTCCTCAGCAGAGTCAACTTCCACTGCAGCCATCTCTAACGCCCAATGGGCCAGCCGACTCCGGACCGCCCAGCAACTCGACAAGCTTCACGCTCACTGGGGAGCCCAACAAAAACCGAGTCACCCGCAGATCCAGCCTTTTTCACAAGCTCCTTGCAAGCAGCCCAGGTACGGCACACTCTCACTGGCCGATACTCCAATCCCTCGTAGTCCTTGAAGACCAACCAGATCTTGCTAGGCAAGTGAATCCGATCTCGTCCAGAAGTTCCACGGTGATCTCCACTCAGGCAGCGCTTGATGAACTCCGCAATCTCGTCACAGACCTCCTCTCGCTCAAGCCAGGACTGACTAACCCTGCTGGACGAAGCTCGCTCAGGGTCAGTGCCCTCAACCACAGCGCTGCCAGCCTCTTCTCCACTGCCAGAGCGAGAGCGGGAAGCGTTCTCGTTGAAAGCTCGAGATGCAGGAGCCACCAGAGAAAAGCTGCCCTCAGAAACGCGGGATGACCTCAAAGACGAAGTCTCGCTCCGACTGTCTGCTTCTTCAGGGACACTGCCACGATCTCTGATCACAAGCTTGCGCAACCTCCGCACTTCCAACTTCAGGTCGGCTATCTCGTCACGTAGGTCGTCCACACTCACCTCCACAGCAGTGATGCGGGCGTCCCCCATTCACAGGCCTCAGGCGAGGCGGTGCAGCGGTCGCGTAGCCGGAGAAGACGACGTAGTATGGAGAAACCTCCGGATGGCCACCTGGTGCAGGTAGATTCGCAAGCAGATCACGGCCTCAAGGATAGGCCCAAGAAGCAGCCCAAGGAGCACACCCAAAAGTATGCTAGGCCAATGGAGTTCCCAAACGGCGCGCGAAGGGCACAAAGATAGCACGGGAGGCCCGGGCGAAAGACCCTCAAAAACCTTCCACAGCACAGCCAAGGAAGTTCCCGTAGAAACTCCAGTGGCCAGCGCTTGGCTCATGGACCAACAAAGCTGCAGCCACAATGAAGTTGAACATGAGGTGACATATATGTATGTATGTATGTATAATGATATATGTATGTATAATGATATGTTTTCAATAAGAACATATAATGATGTAAGTACGTTTGTAAGAACAATAATTCTTGTCCAATAATATGTATACATATATATTTAGTTATAGTCATAGTAATTTATGTACCCACAAAAATATCTATATACAGTCACTATGTGTGTACCCATTATTTGACCAAATGACCCAATGACCCATAGACTACTCAAAAGAATATGAATCATTCGGTATCCGTTGATCAATTGAAGAGTGTTTATGAGCATGAGAAGTAGACCCCATGTGTCTTGGTGAATGCCCAAGATGTCGTGGATGGAATCTATCGATTGTTTGATATCAACCCATGAGAGCTTCTCACAGTCAAATTTCACTGGTCAAGTTGATAGTCAGTACACAATAGTACCACCCTTCTATTCCCGGATAGCCCTTGGCCCTTGTACCTTTTTCTTTCACAATTGGAATATGAACAGAATAGTATGATTAAATCATAGCAGCTCTCAATCCGGAGAAGGAACTTGCGGCAGATTCCAGAGACTTCCAGAGTCCCGGAGTATATGTGGAACCTTTGCTGCAGCGATATCCACGTCGCCCGCGAAACCATCGTTTTTTTGATCGCCAAAGGAGACCCCAATCATAGCTGGTTCGTAAGCCAGTTGTTGCTGGTGCCCTGATTAGGCGCCAAAATGGAGGCTTTTCTGCCATCTCAAATGGGTAGTTCAGGAACATCATAATTGGTTTGAAACCTCACCATATCATCATTAAAATGGTCATAAAATGGGGGATGTATGGAAAAAAAATCATTCTAGCTGGGATAGGCACCCTGCAACTATGGCGACTATTTTAGTCACAGAATTTACAGTGGACGCCATTCAGTAGAGATGGATGCTGTAGTCCCAGGGGATATACAGCCCAGTCACGATCACCAGTTACCTAATTGTATCCTGTAGATAGAATATTGTCTAAGTGACACTCCTCTGGAAGTTCCCATTCTACTGAAGAGGATTCTATAATTCTTCAGAATTATTATGTATGCTTATCTCGAGGTTTTTGTGAATGGAATATTATGAGTGTTGCATGGATTCACATCCATGAAAACCAGACACTTGGGGGTCATTTTACATCATTCCAAATTGGGTTTATCACATGTGACAATTCCATACAATTCCTATTTTCTATCTTAGAAAATTCCAACCAAATTCTCCATTTCTCCACGGTCCGCGCATCATCCCCACCTGTTCCAACCTTTGTCGCAGTTCTTCACCTTCAGCGCAGCTCTCACCCAAAGCGTCTGGCAGACGACTCCGCTTCGTTCATGGAAATTTGGTACCAGGGCTGTAATAAACATAATAAATGGTATATCAACTTCTACTTTATTTATAGCATCAAGTCAGTAATATCATTTATTTGATGCTATACTACTGGGTTGATGCTTATTGATCTTTATACTTGATCGTGTTTATCTATCATGATAGTAGGATTTGGTACCAGGGCAAGATTAGGATTATGGTGGTCATGTAGTGGTTATTCCAAGCGTTTTAATGGCTTGGAACGGCTATATCTTGCAAAACCTCGGTTTGTGCGGGGGTGTCTTAACATGGCATGGTGGTTATACCAACTATAATGATGCTGTACTACTGGGTTGGAATGGTTGAATGTGAATCTTCAAGAGACATTTCTGTCTCTTGGCCGGTTTTACCGGTCATTGCCTTGAAACTTTTCATGACCCCCAACAAAGTTTTGCCCCCCTTGCAAACTTCTCTCAATAACTCTTGACTATTCTTGTAGATTCCGTGTAGAATTTCAGAGGTCGGTCAGCACCAATCGATTTTCAAGATACTTAGACCTCTTAACACCTCAGCTGGCGTCGGTACTGACCATCGCTGGCTTGTCGGCTGCCCCAGTACCAGTGGGCAAATGAACGCTAACAATGTAACCCAAAGTGGGAGATTACCTCCTTGCAATTGTTTGCCCCACTTGCTTATTGGAACATAACCATACCCATTTGTGTTCTCATGTGTTCGCATACATGCATGCTCTCAGCCATTGTTGTAAGCCCTTCCCTCATTCTAGCGGGTCCATCCTTTGATGTTTCATCCCTCACTCTCGCTGCTCAAAAAATAATTCTCGGAGCTGCATTTCCCATTTTTGTTGCTTGATTTCTCAATAACTCAATCTCGTTGGATGAACCACACCAATTTTTAGTCGGTTTATTTCAAATTTCTGTTTGCAAACTGTTGTTTTTGGACCAACTCCAAATCTTGGGCAAATGAATCCAAGTTTTAGTCGGTTAAAAAATGAAGTTAAACCCCTATTTTTCCTGCGGAGAAAAAATATCTGATAGCTGACCGCGTCAACTTGGATATAACCACCAATCCCCAACTCAGAAAAAACCTAGGTATAAAATGGTATAAACCAACTACGTATCGCCGCTGATAGCGACCCTGGGCCTTTCATCACCACATTCATACATGCTTGTCTCCAATGTCCCACGTTTTGTATGTTTTCTTTCATATTGGAAATTTGATGAAATTTGCACACATGCATTTTGTACCATTTTTTGCATAGGGGCATGTGCATCATGTTCAATTTGCAGTGTAATGGCGATCCACACCTCTCTTTTTTCTGCAGGGTCATGTTTTCGGACACTTATCCTCGATGCTTTGCAGCTCTTTTGGCCAATGCATCTGCCAGATTCATTTTCTGATTCCAGCAAAACTGAAAGGATCGCACATACTGCTCAAGCCGTGCAGCATTTCTTGTGCCCAACCCTTCATGAGTGCTCAACTCTTTGGGCACATACTTTTTCAGATGGCGCCACGCCTGATCGAGCAATTGTGTTCCAGTGAGCTTTCGTTTGCCTTTCACTTTGACCATCTTACTGACCTGCATCTTCACATGGACCACATTGCAAAATGGCAGGCGAAATTTTCCGCACTCCGACCGCCAAGACTTGGCACCAACCCTATGTCCACCGTAGCGTGCACATCCGATGCAACTTCAAACCAACGTCAACATGCCCCACCCCACCCAACCCTATGTCCACCGTAGCGTGCACATCCGATGCAACTTCAAACCAACGTCAACATGCCCCACCCCACCCAACCCTATGTCCACCGTAGCGTGCACATCCAACTTCATGCAACTTCCAAACAACGTCACCATGCCCCACCCCACCCAACCCTATGTCCACCGTAGCGTGCACATCCGTGCAACTTCAAACCAACGTCAACATGCCCCACCCCACCCAACCCTATGTCCACCGTAGCGTGCACATCCGATGCAACTTCAAACCAACGTCAACATGCCCCACCCCACCCAACCCTATGTCCACCGTAGCGTGCACATCCGATGCAACTTCAAACCAACGTCAACATGCCCCACCCCACCCAACCCTATGTCCACCGTAGCGTGCACATCCGATGCAACTTCAAACCAACGTCAGCATGCCCCACCCCACCCAATCCTATGTCCTCCGTAGCGTGCACATCCGATGCAACTTCAAACCAACGTCAACATCGAGCATGCTCCACCCCACCCAACCCCTATCAACTGATGTGGGTAGAAGCAAGAACAAAGAAACACTGACGGAGAAAACATGCCACCATGCCGAGCTAAAATGCAACCAACAGTTGTGGAACGAAAGCTTGCCGTCTGAGAGTCTGACCTGGTAGAGCAGCAGACTTTGAAGATATTGCTATGGGGTCGCTATTAGAGGCGCATTAGCACCAACTAGCCTATCATAAATCACTTTTGTATGTAAACCACCAGAGTTTGTCTGAAACAGGGCGTTGCCCCAAATCCACCATTTCCCCTCCGGTAATCAAAGATGTCCCATCTAGTTCGATGTTTTTCCCACAAAAACACCTTCATTTCTCGGAGATGTTCCGCTGCCACGTTTGATGACACCGGAGTGTAATCATCCTTATTCCCATTAAAAAGGCCAATGGTGGTCAGTCCCCCGTTTTTCGACATCCAGTTGACCCAGTTGCTATCCAAGATTTCCCCTGCAAAATTGTCTCAATTATAGCCCTTGTATACCCTTTCTATCATCATTTAGGTTCATTGAACCAGATTAACGCTCATGGACCCCATACCAAACCCTGATATAACCACCGTTTTTGTTGCGTCAGCCCCTCGAAATATTTGGCAATATATGCACTTCAATCCTCTATTTCTTGGATCAACGTATCGACAAAAACCCATCCCCGTTATATCTCATGTTATTCCTATTATGCCACTATTATTGGTTCAATCATGTTCAATCCTCATTTCGTGATTAATCATCACATTTGTTGATATATATATATGTGTGTGTGTCTGAGAATACGGTATACCTTGCCAATATACATTTAGAAGGGAACATGATTATTAACCATGATATTTGGGGGCAAAAAAAATCCAGACAGACCAACATATCCCCATTAGGAGGTTTCCCATGTAGGTACCCCCAAATCATCCAGTCATTAGACGATTTTCATATGGGTATAGGTCAAAGTTGGATAACCCTCAAAAATCGATGGTTAATATTAAACCAAAACTAGAATCTGTAGCCCCGATGGTTAGTCTTCAATTTTGATCCATCCTCCGTGCTTTAGTATTGAAATCCATGGTGACTTGGGCTTCTCCGACTTCAGAAACCCCCATTAGAGCGCCTGCCAGTTCCGCACGCAAGGCTGGGGGAGAGGAGAGCAACTCGGCTGCCTGTAACATTTCGATGTTCGGAAAATGGACACAGCCTTGGGGATAAGATGGTTTTGCAACGAGGTATGCCATAAAGGATATCTTAGGTGTATTTAAAGGGTTTATATGATAGTTGTACATGTATATACACACATGGAGGGATGCTGTGGGAACGTCCCCCAGTAAATCTGTCCACCATCTCCCAGCCCAACCCCCCTGCCCATTAACCCCCCCCACCACCCTTGAAACTTGAAGCTTTGAACCCCGTGAATGTGATGAAACGCTCAAAACACTGCAAAGGACCATGTGTGTGACATGTGTTTTGAATGTGGTTTTTAATTGTTTTGTTTTTTCTGGGACCCAGGCATCTTAAGTGGTTTGACTGCTTACAGCAAATTCCACTAGTCAAACTGGTGGTATGTATCAAACTGGTGCCATGGTCAAAAGATGGGAACGTTAATGCCCCACGGCTCCACATCCCACCATGTCACCACCGTAGCATGACGGTAACGCGTGGCACAGAAACATGAATACCCCTAGCCCGCCCCACCCCACCACCGATACCAGGTTACCATGTTCAAAACTTACCCGTGCTCAAAATGAACCACCCTTCCAACGATTCCAAGGCGCTGTGGCAGCTGCCTGCTGTAAAAGCCACGCCAAACAAACCCAACCCCTTTAAATGTGGACATCGCCTTTGTCAACCTCCATATCCTGAACCTGCGAACGCCAGCACGCAGAATTGGCGTTCGCCTGCCCCGTGAAACACGCGGCCGCTGTCGCCTCGAACGGAACCAAAAAAGACAACCAAGAAGAAGAACAAGAAGAACATACAAGAACATACAAGAACGGCAACGACAACGACAAAAGCAAGAAGAAGAAGGAGAAGGATAAGGAGAAGGATAAGAAGAAGAAGAAGAAGGAAAAAAAAAGAAGAAGAAGAAGAAGAAGAACAACAACAACAACAAAGCACACAGGGGAAAAACTCAAGAAACACAACCACAGCCCCCAAAACACAAAAGGTAGCAGCAACAATAAAGCCAGAGGACACAAGGCGATCTAACAAATGTACACACACACACACGCACACACACCTGATAAATGATGTGTCATTTCTTTCGCTTCCGTTCTGGTTGGTGTATTACCCTCTGGTAAACTAACATAACTATGGAAAATCACAATTTTTAATAGGTAAATCAACTATATATAGCCATTTTCAATAGCTATGTCACAAATTACCAGAGGGTATCCATCCAACATCCTCAAACAATAGGATCCCAAAGACGTATCAGCTACTGGTGATGTATCCCCAATGAAATTTCCCATTGCATATCGCCCAACAAAATCATCACATGGGATGCTATCTTACTTGGATCATCCCATCTACCCTCTGGTAAACATACAAAAAGCTATTGAAAATGGACATTCATAGTGGATTTACCCATCAAAAATGGTGATTTTCCATAGCTATGTTAGTTTACCAGAGGGTATTTATAGATAGATTCTCCAAGCTACCTTGGGTTGATAACCATGGTTCCAAGCCATTTATAGATAGGATGACCTACGAAAAAAGCGGACTTACGACCTACTTACGATCGCTACAATTGGTTATATATCCACAATGATATTCCCATAAAATATAGCCTCTACTCAAACATCGCCCAGTAGCCCAGTAGCATATATTCCCAGCACATAGCCCCAATTTGCTAAGTTGGTGATATATCCCCAATGATATCCCAATCATATCGCAATAAAATATCAGGAAGATTTGGGATGCTCCCCCCCACTATCTTCCCTCTTTTCACATAGCCTATGGCCAGCTATGGTTGGCCACATCCCGCGAGGCGGAGACCTCAGGAGCTTGCACCAGTTCAAGCAGAGCCGGCCAATTCTTGGTGACCTGCCTGGCAGTTGAGCTGGAAAACATTAGGAAACATGGGAAAAAAACATGGGAATGAGTGGGAATTCATGAGAACAAAATGGGGAATTAGTGGGGACCAATAGGGAATCAATGGGCGGTTGCTGGGAACTTTTTTATGGGGAGGGTGTAGTTCACCAATCCATCCAGCATGGGAACAAGCCATGAGTCGGTGGGAGAAAGGTCATCAGGAACTCATGGGATAGAAAACATGGAGATATCGGGATATTTTTTTGGGATAAAATTTCAGAACCAACTAACCAACAAATAGATATTGTTCATCATTCCTGGATATATCAAATGGGAAAAATTGGATATTTGCTTGGTTTTTCCAGGAATGAATTTTTTTCCTCCCTGCCTGTAGTCGCGATCATCGCTGCGGCAGATGCATCTGCTGAATTCTACGAAGCCCAGCAGATCTTAGCTGTCAGGGCCTATGTAAGTGCCAAAAAACTGACAGGTCATAGCTTTACAACGTTCGACCAAATCAGCAGGCACTTCTGTGTCGTCGCACTTCGTGCTGACAATGTCCATGCACAGTGCTTCGGCTATTGCCTTGCATAGAGCTGGAGGATATTCCTTCAGCGGAGATGTCTTGAATTGGCCATACTGATCCTTTCCCACAGAGGCACCGTTCGGGATCTCTCGTGTCACTCTGTTCTCGTGCAAGAACTTTTCCAGTGTGGACATTCCGAGCACCATCAGCGTCGTCGGCTTTGCTGAAGGCGCGCCGAATAACCCCTGGGCCAAATGGACAAGGCGAACATTTGGGAGCTGCAAAATCGCACGCAAAACCGGCAGCCGCCAAATACTCACCATCTCATCTTTCTCGGGGTCTTTGGGGTGCTCAACAAGTCCCGTGCCGGATCTCATGGCTAAGGCGGTGAGGCAAGCAAGCGCAAATCCAAGCAATAGGTTCCCGATGCTCACATGTTGTAGCTCGGTCAAGCTCAAGGATTCCTTTCCCCACGGCTCCTGAGGGGTTCTGACAACTCTTGGTCCTCTGACGCCAGCAATAACATGGTGTCGTGCTCGGCTCCAAGTATTGCACGGCGGGCCCGCCAGAAATCCTATGACGTGTCCTTGCAAAATATGACCAATCCAATAAGATCTTGTCTGTTCTCTGGAAATGTCGCCAAATGTGGCATCAATCACGATGTCAACCGAGGCCACATGAATGACATGGCTAGGATAACGAGCGGCCATTGCATCAACATACCATTCAATGTCACCGCGTCGTCTCCTCCCGGCATAAGCATGAAGGATAATCTTCTGCTTGCTCAACGATCTTGGCAATGGCTGTAGGAGCTTCCATGATGCAGGGGGCTCGCATGCAAATTCTGCAAACCATGCTTCCCATACACTGATATCTTGGGTCACACTACTGCCCTCTCTGACACATTGCATCTGCAAAAAAGGCCACGCACCATCACGTGCGAGGATCTCAATGCAACGGCGAACTGCGTCAAAGGAAAATGCTAAGACCTCTGCATCTTGCTCTGTGAAAATAGCAAGAAAGTGCAGCAAAGTCAAACGACAAACTGTCCAGCCCACAGGGTGTCTGCCGATCTCTGTCCTTATGACCTGCTCCAGGTCATCGGTGGATGTGACTTCTAGAAGAGCAAGATACAGATCTTCCAGTAAACGGATGTTGTGTTGGTCGAAGTCTGCCTGGCGCACATTTGGACGCTGGGGACCAAAGGCTTGTTGAAAAGGCAATGCACCATCCATGCTATTCTCCAGTTCACGGTCAATCGATGACCCAGTGCCAGGTACAATGGCACATTGCATGCGCTGACCGATTAGTGCGCGACGACAACGGTCAGCGTGACGAAGATGTGCCAATACCTTCGCCCTTGTGTGATATTCACGGAGGCATGCTGGACAGTGCGTTTCATCAAATAGGGATCTTGCTGGCGCTACACGCCCATGTTTTTTGAACATGTGGACACTTTCGCCAGCATGGGTGAGAAATCTTTGTTGGCAGCACATGCATCCATATGCCTCACTGGGAACTGTTCGAGTGTCATCAGCAGGCAACTCAGCGACCCAATCATGAACATGCAAAATGCTACCAATGCTACAGTGGAAGTCAAGCGCAATCACATAATTGTTTCTCTGCGCGATGGCATGGGCGATGCCTCTTCGGACCAATTTCTTCCAGTATGAACTGTGGAATGTGAGCAGGTCTTTCCAGACTGGATAATGGTCCACAGGGTCCTTCAAATCTGTAGTGTTTGAAACCTGGGACCAGAGCCATTGCATATCATCTTGAATGAGTGCAATCCAGTCATGGTCTTCTGCAATGACTCCCCAATTGGCCGCACGTCCGCATCGGTGCAATGTGCCAAAATACCTCAACCGACTGCTCCGGAGCAATTCGCCAGGTGATGGCAATCCTGCACGTGTCAGAAGGTGAAGATCCGTGATGTGCATGTCATGAGGCAATTTCAACAACCTTCTGTACAAGCTCATCACACCACTATGGAATTGCACCTTCACTTTTTGGGACTTCAGCGTCCATGATTCCAAGCCGTATACTAATTTGCTGAGAATCAAGGTCACAAAGATTTCACGGCGCTTTTTCCATTGGATCTTGCAGTTGTGATAAAGGATCCTTCGGTGTGCAGTGAAAGCTTGGTGGGCAATAGCTAATCTGCGAGACACTTCAACACGGTCAATGTCACGGTGATGAAGAATACCCCCCAAATGCAAATATCTGCTCACAACGGAAACTTGCACCGTGTCATGTTCACCAACGACAGTCAGGCCTTGTGCACTGGAAAAATATTTCCTTCTGAACTCTCTGGATCTGCTGCCCCTGAATGTGAACATGATCTCTGTTTTCCCTTTGCGTAAATTGGGTTCCATGTGCATTTCTCGGCATTGGTCAAGCAACAAGCTCATGGCCAGCCCTGCTTTTCGTTCTAGGCCAAGGTTGGAATCTGCAGCAATGCAGACATTCAGGTCATCCATCCACGTTGGCCCGAGAAAAGGTACCTTCACCTGGGGCCCATCAACTTGGTCACCAAAGCTGGGCAAATCGTGAACAGGAATCACTTCCAGTACATCATGGGCGACAAGCTGGTCTTCGTAACGCCGGAGCAATTGGGCCCATAAGAGGCCGAACACTACGTCAGCATACGAGTCGCCTGGCCTAGAGCCGATTGCTGTTCGCACGACATCATCTTGGGTTCCGATTTGGAACCATGTGTCGCTGTGTAAGGCTTGAAGGAACTTCTGTACAACCGGTGCCGCTCCAGCCTGCTGCAAAGCTGAAGGCTCCTTGAGTTGTGCATGAAATTGGTGCAGAGCATTATGTCCAAGACCAATCCGGGCTGCAATGACTGCAATGTCATCATCAGAAAGATCACCCCCCAGAGCCAGTGGGCGAATCAAACGATAGAAGGCTTCTGCTAAGTCCAAAAAGATACATGCAGTGGGTCGTTGCAATCTAGCTTGCCATCTCATGAAAGCTCTTGATAAATGCGGCGGAATCCCCACAGGAATTTTTGGACGTCCCCCAAGCTGTTGGGTTTGCATGTATGCCGTATACAAACTGTGATGTTTCTGTCGCAGTGCTCTGTGAATTGTTTTGCCCATGTGACTTGAAACAAGAAGTGACCTGTGTGTGTCACAGTCACGCACATCTCCACGATGTTTCCACGCGACAGCTAACCGGCCACCTTTATGCTCAATTGCTTCTTGTCCATAGACAAAAACTTTGATCAGGATTGCGTACGTCAGTCTGGCCAGATCACGTGCCTTCACATGACAGACTTCCGGTGGGATACCATCGTTTCCCACTGCTTTGCCGAATGGCACACGTCTGTACGCCATTTCAAGTTCGGCAAGGCTCGGCAGTTCCTTGATGGCAATGGAAAACGAGTCTGTCACAAGAAATTTTGCAAGGTTCTGTCTCCAAATGGTACGGTATGTATCATGATCCATTCTGGTACCTCCTTCAAGGTGGCTGAAAAATTCAATCCATCTGTTCTGGGCCTCTTCAGGAGTCGTGCAGATCTCACCATTTTGCTTTCGAACAGCAGGCAAACCTGTCTTTTGTTGTTTTTTCAAATTTGTGGGCCCAATGAATGGTTTCAAAGTTTGCAGTAATGTACCCGCTGGTGTGACCTCCGATGTCTGGTCAAGAGCATGAGACAGTTGACGTGTTTTTGCTTGCTGTAACTCACGTCTCAACATGCGTGCAATGCGATAATACCTGCAGTTCAATTGGAAAATGGAGCACAAGACCGTGTTTGCGTGAGCTACATGAGAGTTAACAATCACGTCAACACCATCAGGGTCAGCCTCCTGGTTTTTCCATGCCCAGAAGACAAGTCGGATGGAGTCCAAGCTGGCTTGACGTCGGGCATTCTGCAAGCGTCTTCGCAAATGGAGTTTGGCGATCCGGTAGTCCCATATTTCAGCCGACAAATACTGCTTCTTCTTGCCCTGTTTTTGCCTTGGGCATGCTGCCTGTAAAGTGCAATGAATGGCTTGATTCAATGATTGGACCTGTGTTTCAATGTCCTCATGCCATGCACATGTCTGGACTGCTGCAAGGTCAATCACATGTTCTTGGTCCTTGATTGCATTCCGGTCATGTTTTCCTGTTTTGGCTTTGGACGAATGGGTCTGTCGATCTTGGATCCATTGAAGCTGGACACCAACTGCCTGGTGGTCTTCATGGCCATTGCCTGTGTCAAAATTGTCAATGCTACATGACTGCATGCAAAAGCAAAGTTCATTCTGCGGTATTGCAATGTAGTCAATGCGATGTTGTGTCCAACCATCGGGTGCAGTCCATGTGCCATGAGAACCGCGATGCAGCGCTGTGGTGGATGGCAGGCAAAGTCCAAAGGTTTTCAAAAACTCAATCATGAAAACAGTGTTTGCTGAGCATGAGTCATCATTTGCAAAAACTATCGGTTCACAACAAGGACCCGTTTTCGCATTGGCATCCATGAAAACATACAAAGACAAATCACAAACAAACTGATTCATGATGCGTTGAGTTTCCTCCCACCATGCTCTGCGTTCACTCAAAGGTCTGCCACTCTGTGGCGCGTGCAACACACAAAGATGGCAGTCAATGCATGGATGGGCAAGGCGGACTAGGAGTCTTCTGTGATCAGCATGGACAACCTGAACATGTGTCATCTGCACAAAACAAGGCTTGTGCCGATAGGCAATCGGCTGTTTTGTATTAATCCACAATTCTACCCCATGCTGGCCCTTAACACATCCACTGGCAAGGCGTATGGCATCATCAGCCCTGGATGTGCCTGCTGGGCTTCGTGCTTCCTGAATGCCTAGAAAATTTAGGTTAAGGTCACACATCTGCCGGCGCAGAAAATGGAGTTTCCCACCAAATCCCTCTGGTCCTGCATAAAGGGAACTCACATTGCATGTTGCAAGACTGATAGCCATGCGATGTCGAATCACCTTTGTTTGGTTGAGGGCACTTTTTGGCGGCGGTTCTGGCTTTGGCAATTGTGGAGGGCACACATCAAAACCGTGTCCTTTGAAGCTTGGCAGACCTGCAGATTTGTCGAAAAGCATCCACAGATATGGCAGCACAGTTTTCCACTCTTGCAGGTTGACCGGCTGCCGTTTCAATTTGTGCCCATGTACTGCTTCGGACTTCGCAAGAAAGTCAGCCATTTCATTCCAAGGATCGCCTGCATGCCCCCTCACATGCTGCGCATCTAAGCAGTCAGGAGGTAATGCCGCCTGTAGAGCCTGGAAAACACTCCGTAGTGCCTCAAATGTTGGGTTGTCATCATTGCATCCAGCTCGTCCCATAGCCTGTTCGGCCGTGGTGACCGAATCCGATCTGAAAACAGTGGGTACAGTGATGTTTCTGGATAACCGCCAGATTGCTGCCCAGAAAAGGGCTTCTCTCTCGGCATGTTCCGATCCTACCTGAGTAGTGCCGAGATAATGACTGAGCTTTTCCTCATATGTGACACATTGTGCATGCCATCCAATAAGCGTGATCTCTGGCAATGACGCATCTGCTCTGTATCTTTCACCAAGGACTAGATAAGCCCATGCATCGGGTACATCAAATTCTTGGATCCACAGCGGTGGTTTGCGTCTGTTGTGCGCCTTTGAGCTTCCATCCGTATAGATGACAAGACGGTCAAAACTCTCGAGATCAGGCATTTCGGTGGCGATCACAATCCTGTGTTGGATTTCATGAAGAGTGACTTCCGGCAAGTCCAGATGGCTATACCACTGACATAAGACATCATCTCCAGTACGGAAAAACTTCTCGAGGGATTCCAGATCAATACCAAGGTCCAAACAATGCTCTGGTGCTTCATCCTGAAAGTCATGGAATACAAAGAAAGGTCTTGACTGGATAACAGGCATTGGTGCTGGCCAAGGCGTCGGCTTGCGGGTCAGGATGCTTTGTTCTGCAAGGGCAGGTTCATTGTTATGATACTCAACCAGTGCAAGTCCGGTTCGCACTGTGGTCGTTTCAGTGATGACTGCACGGCAAAAACCAAGAGAGTGAAGCACCTTCATATGACGATTGGCATCTTCATGGGCATGCTCACTATGCAAAATGATGGAGTCTCTGTCCCAGTTTCCGGGCGAGTAATAAACGTAACAGAACTGCTCAGGTGGTGGTCTCCAATCACAAGCAACGCAGAAAGCAAATCCTGTTCCTTTCAGTAGGTATGCATGTCGGGCCCACCCCATGATAGCTAGTTCTTTTTCAATTGCATTTTCACAAATGGGATCCCGCAGGAATAGTTGCGATGGAAAACCACTTTCTCTGCTTTCATCGATGATCGTGATGGGCACTGTTTCATCAGAACCCGCAGAGACACAGTCATCAAGACACAAAATAGTTTTGAATTTGCATGTGATGCTGGTTTGCAACAGGACCTGGCCTTCAACTTCCGGTGAAGTGGGAGGCACATAAACCGGCACAGGCCTTCTTTGGACATGAACAACGATTCCATAACCGGACCTACCTGGCAAGCGAAATCCTGGCTGCAATGGTAAACGATCATACCATGCTTGGCAGTGCACTTGATTCTGAGGATTCAAGCATACCGGATCATAATTGCATGCTGGGAGGAGGTGCTCAATACGAATGTGTTCATGAGTTGTGATGGCAGCTCTGCGAGGTTCAGGGCCATACATTCCTCTATCGAAAATGGAAACAAGAGAGGTCACCCAATCATCCCGTGGCGCTTGGACAAGTACCACATGTGCAGCTACATACGGTTCAAGTCTGGGCGGCAATGGTGTGACAGTATGAAATTCCAGCTGTACATTGGGATCAAGCATGTCCTGCCATGCGTTCTTGATTCTTTGTTCCCAGCTGTCAAAATCTTCATACAACGTGACAATGCGTCCTGCATAGCAATGGAGGAAATGACGATGGTCAACAAGCCACGTGACCACATTGCTGGCCGCAATTTCACCTGCCCATGCAAATGCACGCTGAGACCATTGCGCATACAAATCTTGTATATGCTCTGGCTGTGTTGCAATGTTCCATGCTCCCGGTCGGAACTCCGGGGCTTGAGGGTCCATTGCAAAGGCTTGGCACTCACCAGTTTGCGCAGGCAGTTGCGTCCCATGCTGTGCAATTTGGCTAGAGTGCTGCATTAAATTAACTTCATCACTCGGCTGCTGGAGAAGAACCATGTCTTCAAAATGAGGGTCCTGTGTACCTGGTGCAATAGGTAACTGATTTTCCGGTGAACGTACACGAATGCGTATGCTACACCCTGAGGTAATTTCAGTTGCTTCAATCAGATGGATCGGCACATTCCCCCAGGTAGCCGTGCATATGCGTCCTTCACAAAGAGGTTCGATTTCCAGCGTGTCAATGATGGTTTGTCTACGAATGATGGTTGGGAGAGAAAAAGCACCTTGGTTGATTGCGTCAATTCGATCTCCTTCAATCAACGCCGTCAGAAGACCTGCCGCACGATGGGCATGTACGGATTGCTCAACTATGACATGACATGCATAATTCCAGGATCTGGGCTGCGGAGGAGTTGGTCTCACAACACGCAAGGAGAACACTTCATTTCTTCGCAAGACGTCAGACCACAACTGTCGGAAATCATCAATCCATGTGATGGAATACCTTTCCAATCTCAGTGGTCGAGGCACACGACAGGATGGATGATGCAAATGATTGACAAACCAAGTTTGAACGTAAAGCATGGGTTCATCCACAAATGCTTCTTCTTGTGCTTGGTCTGCAAAAATTTGCCCGAGGTCCAACAACCACTGCAACGTTCCATCATGTTCTGGTCTTAGGCGTCTCTGGTAAGCCCTGGGTGGGTTTGTGATTGGCAGGTCGATGTCATAGGGTCCTAGGTCCGCACCTTTGTGCTGGCATGGAACATTCATGGCTGTTTGTGGGCTATTAGCCTCTGAAACAACCGCAGGCTGAGCATAGGTGTTTTGCAAAATTTCAGCAGCAAGTCGAAAAGCTTCTGGTTTTCCGATCAAGTCAGCAGTTTCTTCAAAAACTCGCAAGGTGTGTGCCAGTTCCCACGAAACATCTGGTGGCGGTGGTATGATGATTCTGATGTACATGCCATGTGTAATTCTACGTGGCCCTTGGTCCTGTGAAGTCCACAGAACCCTGTTACAGAAAACAAAACATCCATTCACCATCCATTCACAATATGCCGAGACCCTGGCGATGTGCAGGAATTGTGTTCTGGTTAGAACTGGTACCACTTTGTGAATCTGCCTCAAGATGCGTGGTGCTTGTAGATTGCTGCCACCTGTCAAACCTGCCGCATGCATCTCAATATCCATGAGAATCAGTTTTTCGGTAGATCCTGGCGCAATGTCGTTGACATGTTGGAGAATAATGGCTTCTTGTTGCACTTCCTGATCATCGGGACATGCTTGCAAGTAATGGAAACACACACAATGTGCAGGCGTCACATTCACAGACCGTGCCGCATCCTGCAAAATGTGATCTGCAGTGTCCCATCTCAAGCGATTGAAAACTTGCTGGTGTCCCAATCTGAAAATGTGCACACCTTGCAAACTGTCTGATTCCGATTGATCTGACTGCAAGGCTGGGTTATCAGATTCCTCTGGTTCCTCTTCACCGCTTTCAGGATTCATTGCTTCGTCAGCACTCATGGCGGCGGCACTTTGAGGCATTGAGCTACTGGAGGCTCCACCGCCAGTTGCACCAGTGCGACTAGCAACCGTGAAAGAGTCACCATCTTGCATGAGATGAACTGGTGCCATCGTGAAAGGTATTGTCATCATTCAATGTTTAATAGTGCATGTGAAAGTATTACATTCATGTAAAATTTCACTGCTTTGCACAATTTGGTATCCACTAAGTTCCTCCGGCAAGGATGCAGCAAGAGCATAACGGACCCTTCCATTTGGGTCATCACGTTGCAGCACAGAAATAAGGCCTGCTTTGCGTGGAGCCTCAAGCCCTTGTGCAATGATGATGTCAAATAGGATTTCATCCCACACACCCCTCCTGGCAGCGATACTTCTCGGCGGATTGGGATATACGATGCTAAAAATCGTATCCTCATTCGGATCATTTTTGTCTCGCCACGCAGAAAGAATGTCTGTGAACCAAGTCCTCCGGTGTCCATTCAATTCAATCATCCTATAGTGCCAACAGCGATGTTCTCTAAGATGGTCAATATGCCATGATCTCAGGAATACGCTCTCAGTGAGACTAGGCCCAATGATGAGTCCCTCCCGCAAGAAGGCATCAAAAAGGATTTGTATTGATTCAGGTTCTTCATGGAGGAAATGTTGCAGCTCATCATCTTGATCGTCTTGTTCAAGACCATTTGTATTGTCTTGCGCAAACCATGTTGAAGGAACATTGTGGAATTCATCAGTTGTTCTGAAATTTTCAGATGCCGGCAAGCTGTGGTCCTTCCGGATCAACACGGCCCCTGAGGACAGCGGTTCCAAGGAATTCCCACAATCATTCTGATTGGGTTTTGGTAAATGTAGACTCCATGGCTTTTGGGGCCATTGCTTGATAAACTGTTCTGTGGTCTTCATGGAAACACTGATTGGATCAGAAAATCCGCAGAAACGTAATTCAACATCTGAAGAAAAATGAACCTGCCTACCACGCCCACATGTAGGTTGTTGCAATCTTTCAGTGGAAAAGCTTCTGTCAGATCTGATACCAAACTCCCAAGACAATTCACTTGCGCGCTCAATGGCCTCCCATTCCGGGACAAACCATGGTTCATTACATGCCCTGTGGGTCCACTTGAGAATCAGTGGATGCTGGTCAAGCCCTAGACAAGTGTACCCTTCGGTCACTGCTTGTCGGGCTGGATAAAAGGCTTCTTTCGGTCGGCAAATGGCTGCATTGCAGGCGCAGTAGCCGACGGCAATCCATCGTGCACTCCAGAGCCTGATGCAACTGATGTTCTTCCATCCCCTCCATCCGTCCGCTGACGTTTGTTGGAGTTTGCCTCTTCTGTGACCATTGCCTCCGCTGAGGCCTGTAGGGATTGCAGCTGAGCTGACATTGTCGTCAGACTTTCTTGCAATGCCATTCCCACAGCGTTCTTGTCCACATTGTCCGAATCCTCGTTCATCGCAGCTTCGGCGTCCACATGAACCGCTTGATCTCCCAGTTCTGTCTTGGACTCTTCGAATCTCTTGACAGCCTGTACAAGGGCCTGTCGTGCTGCTTCGATTTGTTCGGACAAATCCTGCTCTTCTTTCTGAAAGTCGGTTGTGTGCTTTTGCCATCGTGCAACCGCATCTGTCAGAAAGTTTCTCCATCTGATGTGAAGATTGTGTCTGGCCAGTCGTGCACAATCCAGTGCCTCCCTGGCCATGGTGAGATCGTCCACAGCTGAATAGAGCGTTTGAGCAGCTCCTTGCCCTTCTTTCAGTGTGGACCTTTGAACGATCGCCTTGACTTCTGGATCTTGTTCTGCTGAAGACTTCTTCAAGGCTGACAGCAGTTCCTTGAGCATGGCTCCTTCTTCTGTGGTTGGAGGTGGCTCTGTAGGCGGCGGCAATGGAGCAAGGTTGGTTGCACTGCTCAGTGAAGGCGTCCAAGGCGGCTCTGGAGGTATCATTGTGCTCCCTTGGGAGCTGGCTCCTCGGCCCTTTCCTTTGTCTTTGCCTTGATCCTTTGTTTGTCCTTTCTGCTGATTGTGTGCTGACTGTCCTTTCCATTGCTCTTTCCGCGTACCTTTGCCTTTCCCCTTTCCTTTGCCTTGACGTGGGGATTTGGGCTGTTGCCACTCCACCTTGGATCCTTTTGGCGTCCTTGGCGTATGATCTCCTGCTTGATAATAATCCCAGCTGTTCCAATCCCAGCTGGACTGAGACTGTGACTGCTGTTGCGAATACTTCTGCTGCTTTGATGGTGGAACAAAGGTAGTGTCCTGACATTCTTGCCATCCTATCAGGCACTGATTGCAACCATTGGCGTTTGCCTTCGAAATCTTTTTGCAGTAAACACATCTCCACGGATCTCCTTGCACCATCAGTTCTTTGTTGATGCGTTGGATAAATTGTCGATCCTTCGAATGATGCGAACTGAGCCGATGTCTCAAAATCAAAATTTCCCTCCTCGTCAAATGAATATGACCGGTTTGAAAAAGATGCCAGTTCAGTCGAGCCTTTGCTCTGAGCTTGCGCTGGGACCTTTTCTGTGAGTTCTTGATGATTGAAGATTACAAAAAGCCAGAGCAAGGTCAATGGCATATGTAAACAACACAAGAAACAGGCGTGAAGTCAATAAAGACCAAATAAGTTGTCAACTTATGGCAGGGAGTTGAGAACCCGTCCACAGCACAAAAACTGCAGGAAAGAATTGCACAAAAATTGTAAATTGTCACGAGGGTATCACAAGCCAAATCAGTGTCGTAGAAACAGGAAAAATCACTGTCCACGAGCCAGTCAGAAATGGGAGCTCACCCCAATCACCCAGGATTTTAATGTGTCTGGGACCACAATACCAAGACAAGGCCGGCAAGACGGTGGGTGCCAAATCACAAAAGAAAATGGAATCCAGTCGAATGCAGACCCGCGGCGCGAATGGCAAAACGACAGCACCGCTAAGATCGTGACCCTACCTCAGGAATGAATATGAATATTGCAACTTTCCGTAGGACATGAGCCCCCAAACCATTGGATATTTAGCCTCTGGTTATGACTAACATAGCCATGGTATAGATGGCCCAGATTTCTAGATGATTTTTCCAGCTAGAAACCCCTATTTATAAGGGATTTTCCATGGCGAACTGTTAGTCATAACCGGATGGTAAGTTGTTTTGGGCATCACTCCGGGGCCTCTAGGTCTCTACTGGTGCTTCTGGGGTGAGATCCAGCCGGGTGGTCTAGAAATCCTGCGGGGCTTTCCTTCGCCAAGCAGCGCTTGAAAATTGGACTCCAAAAACAGGCAGCATTTGAAGAAATGTGCTTGGGCTGAATTTCCAATATGCACATGCACAAGAGGCTTTTTTTTTGGATCCTGTTATTTGAAATGCAGTCCATCTTGGAAAAACATGGTTCTTACCATATGGCCATGCATTCTTTTCAAGGCTTCTTGGTCTCCTACTTGGACAGCAACGATCAACTGAAGCCCATGGAACTTAAGAAGTTCCATGGACTTCGATCCACCAAGTTTAGGAAAACATGGATTGCCCTCTGGTAATTTGTGACATAGCTATTGAAAATGGACATTTATAGTGGATTTACCCATCAAACATTGTGATTTTCCATAGTTATGTTTGTTTATCAGTGGGTAAGTCATTTCTGTTCCTATCATCTAATTGGTGGTTGACCTACCCCCTGAAAAATATGACGGTCAGATTGGATCATCATCCCAACTATTGGGGAAAATAAAAAATCCAAACCACCAACCAGTCATTGTTGATGAGCCCACCTTTTTTTGGTTGATTAAACCTTCATTTTCTGCAGGGCTAGTCTGGGGCAGAGCAAGTGATCGGAAAATTTCCCTTTCATGACTTGGAGGATCATCCCACGGATCGTGTTCGTGGTTACGAGGCGCCTAGTGAACGTCCAAATCCTCGATTCCTGGGCTTATTCCATTTTTTTTAGTGAACTAACCCCACCAGTTACTAACCAGTTATTGAGTAGGATGGTCCTCCAAGTACCAAACATCATTTATGGTTCAACTGGCTTCCGCATCGGCGCATCGGCACTCCCTTGGCCCAAACTTTTCGCTCCCGTCTCCGCTGCCGCTGAAAGTGTGTCTCCGCTGCCACTTCTTACCAGCTGGCCCTGTTGCGGCGACGGTCAACGGGTAAAATCCGTTTCCCCAGTTTGATACCACCATGACATGGGGTAATTCTGTGTAATTGTCTTTTATTTTTTGACAAACCCGTATGAAGCCCCTGTTTCTGGGGGGTGAAATTCGGAGTTCTTGAAGTCGTGAAGCCACACATCCTAGGGGGGTACACAGTAATGTGGTAAACCCAACGATATATAAACTATGCCAGTATCCAACCATTTGGGAATAGGGGTATATCGGTATATCGAAAAATAAACCCCAGTTGGGGATGGTTTGTTGTTCGGTTTACCACAGTAGCGGCAAAAATCCTTCATTTTGTTTTTGTTTTTCTTGTTGGTGTTCATGAGGAATTCCACTTCATGGATCGCAATCATTCCCGATGTTTGAATATTTTGAAGGGTAGTGTAAGCCTTTCCACTCAAGCAAGCAGCATCTATGAAGTGTCTCCCCATATTCTAAATACTGAAAACCATATCAATGATGGCTAAATCCCCATTAACAAACCTCATCAACCAGGCTTAAATCCAATCTTGTTGCTGGTCAAATCTCTGTCTTCGGATCATCCAATTTTTCTTCCGGATTTCTACATTTGTTAGAAATCCCATCAAAAACGTCCCACCTAAAAAATATCCATATCATTGTTGGAGTTACATGCCTCATTCTGGGGTGTATATTATATATATATACATATCAATTTTCCACATCAAAATCCGTGGAATAGTATTCACCATATTATATGGGCCTGTCTGAATATGGAGGATATCTCCAAATGGCCCTTTCAACAGGGAAAATGATGATTCAGCGTCAACATGTGGCAGCATTTTCTCAGACAATTCCAAATATCAATTTCATTCCAGATAACCATGCTCGATATACACTACATATACACCTATTTATAATAATAATCATATATATATACATATGAATGCATAATACACACATATATATATAATATATCCAAATAAAACAACGTATTAAATGATATTCCCCATCAAACCTCCGGCAATCAAAGGTGGCAATTGAACACCCACCATTGAGTTCGATGAATTTCCCAGCAGAGCTCCATTTAGTTCGGGGATTTCCCAGCCAGCGAGGTTTGATTACCAGAGGATAAACCAACAGAATTCCAATGGGTCATCATCATCCCTCTGAAAATGGCCATATTTTGGGGGTAAATCCACCATTTTCAGGTACAACTAAATGATATTCCCATCTGGTTGGTGGTTTCTACCCCTCTGAAAAATATGAAAGTCAGTTGGGATGATTATTCCCAATATATGGAAAGTCAAAAAATTCATGTTCCAAACCACCAACCAGCCATATATTCCACATCAATTTCATTCTCCAATGATTAATACTCCACTATCCATGGATGATCCTTTTCGGGTACTCATTAGTTTACAACGAAAATCCCATTGCCTCCCCCGGGGATCGAAACCCCAGGCACTGCTGCGTCTGCGCTGGTGCGCTCCAATCATCGCCGCCCGCTGGAGCGTCCCAAGAACCATCACCCGCAGCGTTGGTCATGTCGTCCCAGTTGCCACCGGCGCCTGGGCGTGTGGGCTTTTTCACTGATGGGATATGATTTTTTCACCCATAAAAAAGTGTATATGAGTGTTGTACTAAGTGTTGTACTAAATATAACTGATAACAGTTTTTTTTCCAAAAATAAGCTGTATCTATATGTATCTATATTATATAGATATCCCACCGTTAGATAGTTGATAGTTGTTGACCTCATCAAATGATGGTTATATAAAATGGGTCAAAATAGTGGTGTGTTATGGTATATGATGAGAACCCTGTTATGAATTGTTATGAGAGTGTTGTACTTGTGTTATATGAGAATCAACCATGGTTAAATAATGGGTTGTAATGGTTGTAATGCCGGACAATTTTAGCAAGCGGGAATATACTAGCCATATATACACCCAAACACATCATTTCGCCCAACATAACTTTTAGAATACAGTTAGAATTCAATGATTCTTCCATCGTTTTTGAACGTTTAGGGCTGGGGGTTTAGGGTTTAAGGTTTTAGGGTTTCTATCTTTTAATGGGTTTCAGACAACACTTATAAGGCATTTTCTCAGCGTGATCCTTCAACCAAGTCTGTAGTCACTCATCGGCCATTTACATGGAGAATCTGACACCGACCACCCGTAGAATTTTCCAAGAGTTGACTGCGAAAACACCAGTGTCTCAGAAGTGGTCAATCGACTTGACCATAGCAATTGAACTACAACCCTGCAATAAAAAAAAGGCAATTTTGCATTAAGATGCCCTACCTGAGCTCTTCATGAAGACCCATTTACAGTGTTTTGAGTTGTTTTGGCGGTAATTATACCCCAAATAGTGAGATTCTCATGGCTTGTAATGGTTCTATCATATGGATCATTAAACTTTTGGTTGACTGGTGATGATCACCCATTGGCGTCTAGGCCCAAGAGTGAACATCCTTTAGCAATTCCAGGGACTTAGTTCTTAATCCAAATCACCTGTGAATCATTGGAATTTGCCATGCACCAAGAAGAAATCAGTAACTTCAACACGAAAAAGGAGGGGCAAACCCTTTAAAATGATGGTGGCATCGATGACGATCCTGAAAGATGCAATCCTTGGGATGGCCTGGTCGGCCGATCTTCCAGAAACATATCTTATATTTTTTGTATCTCATCGTTTTGCCTCGTTTCCATATTTTTCTTAGAATTCCCTTAAAGTCATATGATTAAAAAATCACTAGCCAATAGTAATCATCATATGAACTCCGTTAAAAACCCCTTCAGCTTTGTGCTTTGACTCCCAGACTCATCACAGCGGGGTGCCTGCTCCATCCCAAGCCTGTGCAGGTGCACTCCATTCTTGCTGATGAACCACAGGAGGCTCCTGCGGCTGTGCGGCGGAAGTTTCACAAAGTTTTCGGACGTGATGGACCGTATTTCATCCCAGATATAAGTGGGGACATTCCATATATACTCAGGGGTAAAACCCAGCTACCAAGTGGGATGCACCTCCAAGTATAAGAAATCAACGGCCTACAGGAATGTCTGTGAAATGCAGCCGCAATGAATGATCGAGGTTGTGAAGTGCTTCAAATCATGAATGAATGAGCAAATGGTTTCGAGATGCCAATGACATGACATGAATGCAAATGCAATCCATGACAATGACATGAAAGGATCAATGCACGAATGAGTGAATGAGTGAATCAATCAATCAATCAATCAAGGAATGAATGAATGAATGAATGAATGGATGAATGAATGAATGAATGATTGAATGAATGACTGATTGAATGGCTGAATGACTGAATGAAATGACATGACATGAAATGAAATGCAGTACGATGCAATGCACATGAAATGAACATGACATGACATGACATTACATGACATGACACCGTATAAACATGACATGAACATGAAATGAAATGAAACGCAGATGAGCATGAACATGATATGGAATGAGATGAAATGACATGAATATGAAATGACATGGACAGGAACCTGAATCTTTGTTGCCGAGTCATTTTTTGGGTGACCTGTTTTTCGAACATTCCAAGAAAGTACACGCGAGTCTGCTTCAATCAAGTTTTGATCAGGGCAGCTGAAACATTTTGAGAATTTCCAGGTGTCCAAAGTCTTCAAACGGCATCTATGACTTGGAGTTCCTGTACCCAGAAATACATGTAGGGTCAAAACATGGTCTATGGTTTACGGTCGTCCGGCCCAGAATAGGAACCCCTAAATCCCTATGAAAATGGATTGATGACCATCCCCAAATATGGATATATCATCCAATTTCATCCAATACATGGCTATATATGCAATGAAATCCCCACTCATAACCCATTAAATCCGCATTTAATGGGTACTCCAGATGGAAAAACAGGCAATTGCACCAACAAAAATGAAGCATGCAGAGGTGCATCAGCATCTTAATTATGGTTTTGGGTGTCCTTGCAACTTGGTACTCCCTGGCCTTTTCAAACAGCTAAATGTGTTGGCAATTCTGGACAGACCTTGCTATAAATTTGCAGCCTGGGCTGCAATTGCAGAGCTGTCACGACAAAACCTTGGATCGCCCCAAGTCACAACCGATCCATCTGCAAGGATCGCAGCAAATGCGCGAAAAGTTGCGTGAACCTGCTGGACACCCTTGAGCTGATCTTTGACTCCAGAGCTGACTCCACCAGAATTTCGACCGCCCCAAGTCACGACCGATCTATTCGAAAGGATCGCAGCAAATGCACGAGAAGTTGCGTGAACCTGCTGGACACCCTTGAGGTGATCTTTGACTCCAGAGCTGTCGCCACCAGAAGTTCGATCTCCCCAAGTCACGACCGATCCATCTGCAAGGACCGCAGCAAATGCAAAAGAAGTTGCGTGAACCTGCTGGACACCCTTGAGCTGATCTTTCACTCCAGAGCTGTCACCACCATAATCTGGATTGCCCCAAGTCACGACCGATCCATCTGCAAAGATCGCAGCAAATGCAAAAGAAGTTGCGTGAACCTGCTGGACACCCTTGAGCTGATCTTTGACTCCAGAGCTGTCACCACCACAATCTGGATTGCCCCAAGTCACAACCGATCCATCTGCAAGGATCGCAGCAAATGCACCATCAGTTGCGTGAACCTGCTGGACACCCTTGAGCTGATCTTTGACTCCAGAGCTGTCACCACCAGAATTTCGATCGCCCCAAGTCACGACCGATCCATCTGCAAGGATCGCAGCAAATGCACGAGAAGTTGAGTGAACCTGATGGACACCCTTGAGCTGATCTTTGACTCCAGAGCTGTCACCACCAAAATCTAGATTGCCCCATGTCACAACCGATCCATCTGCAAGGATCGCAGCAAATGCATGAGAAGTTGCGTGAACCTGCTGGACACCCTTGAGCTGATCTTTGACTCCAGAGCTGTCACCACCACAATCTGGATTGCCCTAAGTCACGACCGATCCATCTGCAAGGATCGCAGCAAATGCACGAGAAGCTGCGTGAACCTGATGGACACCCTTGAGCTGATCTTTGACTCCAGAGCTGTCACCACCAGAATCGGGATCTCCCCAAGTCACAACCTGATTGCCTCCATAACACCACAATGCGATAGCACCACGTGTTGCGGCTACCTTTACCGGTGTGGCAATGGCTGTCAGATGGTCCCCCTCTCGAAGTCCTGCAGCTTGCAGAGACTCCGTAGGATCCACCATATGATTATTTGCAGTCACAAGCCTCAAGAAGCCACACTGAAAGGATTTCTGTGCCAGAACCCTCAAGTCCCCGACTTTGGAGGACTGCGGAAGAGAAAATGTCTCACTGCGACCACTTGGCAAAGCTACATTGAGTTGCAACATTTCGCCAACGCTCAAAGCATCTCAAAACTAGCAGTTCTTGCCACTGATCTTGAGCCAGACTGCACCATGCGGATGTTGGTGACCACCATGAACCTGCTCCATCCTACCTGGTGCTTTTGGCTGCAAATCGCTGTTAGCGCGTTCAGGGTCTTTTCAATTCAGCCATTGTTTTCTTTATCTTAGATTCCATTTGAAATACTATATGCATATACAGTAGAAACTTTCATGCTCTACGGTCGGTAGAATGGTCTGCATCAGCCGCTTGCAGATATCGTCTCCTAGCAGGGCACGAAGAATTACTACAATGGTTTTGGAGAATGTCTGACATAGCAGCAGGGGTGTTTTCCTACACAGCCCATGCTCGGGTGTTGAACCAGCGCAATTGGGACTCAGGACTTTTTAACATTAAGCAACAAAAACACGATTTTTTCAACCAACTACTCTTGCGGTCTTGAACCAACAGAATTAAAGTTGTAAAAAAGAAAACCTTTTACACGTCGTTTCCAAGCAAACATGTGGTTTCGACCAGCAACATACCTCGCAATGCATCAGGAGCTAAACCGTCAAAGTTGGGGATTTCAAACAGCTTAGTCAATGCGAATGGGAACAGAAACCAATAGCGCCCAATCACTACCAATAACTGGAGGTTTGCCTAAGGGTTGATTGAGATCATAGCCTACGACCAATTGGGAGCCATCATCTCAGGATGATCAGGGACAGAAATAGTGGGGACATCAGGATACAGCCAACACAAATGCGAATCACTGGTTGGCGCGTCCTTCAACAAGATGCTCTCTGGCCTTTTCAAACAGCAAAATGTCTTGGCAATTCTGAGGAGACCCTGCTACAAATATGCAATTGCACAGCTGTCACTACAAAACCTTCGATCGCCCCAAGTCACAACCGATCCATCTGCAAGGATCGCAGCAAATGCACCATCAGTTGCAAGAACCTGCTGGACACCCTTGAGCTCATCTTTGACTCCAGAGATGTCACCACCATCATGTGGATCGCCCCAAGTCACAACCGATCTATCGGCAAGGATCGCAGCAAATGCGCGACTAGTTGCGTGAACCTGCTGGAAACCTTTGAGCCGATCTTTGACTCCAGAGCTGTCACCACCACAATCTGGATCACCCCAAGTCACAACCGATCCATCTGCAAGGATAGCAGCAAATGCGCGACTAGTTGCGTGAACCTGCTGAACACCTTTAAGCTGATCTTTGACTCCAGAGCTGTCACCACCATAACCTGGATTGCCCCAAGTCACGGCCGATCCATCTGCAAGAATCGCAGCAAATGTACGATAAGTTGCGCGAACCTGCTGGACACCCTTGAGCTGATCTTTGACTCCAGAGCTGTCACCACCAAAATCTGGACTGCCCCAAGTCACGACCGATCCATCTGCAAGGATCGCAGCAAATGCACGATCAGTTGCGTGAACCTGATGGACACCCTTGAGCTGATCTTTGACTCCAGAGCTGTCACCACCAAAATCTGGATTGCCCCAAGTCACGACCGATCCATCTGCAAGGATCGCAGCAAATGCATGATCAGTTGCGTGAACCTGCTGGACGACCTCGAGCTGATCTTTGACTCCAGAGCTGTCACCACCAAAATCTGGATGGCCCCAAGTAACGACCGATCCACCTGCAAGGATCGCAGCACATGCAAAAGAAGTGGCGTGAACCTGCTGGACACCCTTGAGCTGATCCTTGACTCCAGAGCTGTCACCACCACAATCTCGATCACCCCAAGTAACAACCGATCCATCTGCAAGGATCGCAGCAAATGCGCGAAAGGTTGCGTGAACCTGATGGACACCCTTGAGCTGATCTTTGACTGCCGAGCTGTCTCCACCAGAATGTGGATCTCCCCAAGTCACAACCTGATTGCCTCCACAACACCACAATGCGATAGCTCGATATGTTGCTGCTACCTTTACCGGTGTGGCAACGGCGGTCACATGGTCCCCCTCTCGAAGTCCTGCAGCTTGCAGAGACTCCGTAGGATCCACCATATGATTATTTGCAGTCACAAGCCTCAAGAAGCCACACTGAAAGGATTTCTGTGCCAGAACCCTCAAGTCCCCGACTTTGGAGGACTGCGGAAGAGAAAATGTCTCACTGCGACCACTTGGCAAAGCTACATTGAGTTGCAACATTTCGCCAACGTTCAAAGCATCTGAAAACTAGCAGTTCTTCCCACTGATCTTGAGCCAGACTGCACCATGCGGATGTTGGTGACCACCATGAACCTGCTCCATCCTACCTGGTGCTTTTGGCTGCAAATCGCTGTTAGCGTTCAGGGTCTTTTCAATTCAGCCATTGTTTTCTTTATCTTAAATTCCATTTGTAATACTGTACGTATATACAGGAGAAACTTTCATGCTCTACGGTAGAATGGTCTGCATCAGCCGCTTGCAAATATCGTCTCCTAGCAGGGCACGAAGAATTACTACAATGGTTTTGGAGAATGTCTGACATAGCAGCAGGGGTGTTTTCCTACACAGCCCATGCTCGGGTGTTG